AAAAATATTAATATGACTGAACAACATAAACCTAAATAAATAGAAGAACTGTACACAAATATCAGATGCTGATTGATAAATATGTGATAAATATGTTTCTCACAGGGGTTTGAGTTAGTATTTGTGTCATCACTTTACATGCACACAATAATTACATTGGGTAAAATACATTTTAGAAAATGAGACTCAAGATCATTCAAGGAAAGATGCTGTGAATAAATAATGGGAAAAGACTAAAATAAACCCTTTGTACATGGGTTACTCAATACTTCTATGAATTTTTGCAAATACATATATATTTACATGTGTATGTATATATAAATACAAGTAGATGTATAGATATATATAAAAATATAACAGCCTATGTTTCTTATATAGAGATAAATTATTTTATATATAATAAATGAATAAATATGGACAAAATATCTTTATAAAAGATTCTCAATAGTTGTAGAACACCAAGAAGCTAATAAAGAAGAAGAAGAATAAAAAAAAAAAAACTTTAGAGCATCAAAGTAATCCATTAGTGGATAATCCATGGTGGACGCTAAAATTTGTAGACAAACTTAAAAAAAGAGATTATTTTATAGCGTGAAAATTTTTTTCTGAAAACATTCATTAATTCTTCTGGAATCTTTATATGTGTACATAAATTATTTAGTATTCCTTTTTTTTCAGTCAGGAGAGCCTTATTTGTTGCCCTTTGTGTTATAATTTGTGACCTGCCCCTAATGCTTAGAGCATGAACAACAAATGTAGTAACATACAGGGGCAAAAGATAAGAGATATCACTGTAACCAAGTGATCAAGTTTTATGCCATCCATAGTAATTTCCATTGATATCATGTACACTGACATGATGAGATGAGAAATATATTTTGATCTTTGTTATTCATATTCAAATATATAACCCTAATTTACTTGGCCTGTATTCTTCAAAATTTCATGGTCCTTAAAGGTAAGGAAACATTGAGAACTTGTCACAGATTGTCCTCTAAATGGCATGTGGAATCCTAAACTGGTTATTGAGGCAAAAATTTGGTTAGTAGTAAAGCTGAGAGGATTCAAATAAAGTCTACAATTTGTTGAATATTATTGCATCAATGTTATTATTTTTTGACAACTAAAATATTTTTTAATTTTTAATTGATTTTTTAAAAATAAATGACAGCAGAATCCATTACAATTCTTATTATACATGTGATTATACACAATTCTTATTATACACAATTTTTCATATCTCTGGTTATATCTAAAGTATGTTCACACCAATTCACATCTTCATACATGTACTTTGGATAATAATGTCCATCACATTCCACCATTTTGCTTACTCTCTGCCCCCCTTTCCCTACTACCCCTCTGCTTTATCTAAAGTTTGTCTATTCCTCCCATGCTCCCCCTCCCACCTCACTATGAATCAGCCTCCTTATATCAGAGAAAACATTCAGCATCTTTTTGGGGAGGGGGATTGGTTAACTTCACTTAGTATTATCTTCTTCATTGCCGTCCATTTACCTGCAAATGCCATGATTTTATTCTTTTATTGCTGAGTAATATTCCATAGTGTATATATGCCACCTTCTTTTTATCCATTCATCTACTGAAGGACATCTTGTTGGTTCCACAGTTTAGCTATTGTGAGTTGTGCTGCTATAAATATTGATGTGGCTGTGTTCCTGTAGTATGCTATTTTTAAGTCCTTTGAGTATAGACCAAGGAGAGGGATAGCTGGGTCAAATGGTGGTCCCATTCTTAGTTTTCTAAGGAATCTCCATACTGCTTTCCATATTGGTTGCATCAATTTACAATCCCACCAGCAATATATGAGTGTACCTTTTTCCCCACATCCTTGCCAACACTTATTGTTGTTTATCTTCATAATAGCTGCCATTCTGACTTAAGTGAGATGATATATTAGAGTAGTTTTGACTTGCATTTCTTTAATTGCTAGAGATGATGAACATTTTTTCATATATTTGTTGATTGATTGATTTGTGCTTAGCTTTTTTTAAGTTATTTATATACCCTAGAGATTAGTGCTCTATCTGATGTGTGAGATGTAAAAATTTGCTCCCAAGATGTAGGTTCTCTATTAACCTCTATTTAATCACAAATGTATATTATTTAGTCTAAATTTTGTTAAAAGGAGGAAACACAAAATAATATGAACATTTTCTATATGAAATCCACATCAAGAGACAAATGAAAATTTTGGTTCCTAGAGCAATACAACAATTTCTTCATTTAAATTCGAGCATACAAGTTTTGTCTCCTCTGTTATCTTTATGGAACATGATTAGATAACACTGAAGTCTTTTCTAACTATGACTTTATTCCATGCACACAGATAAATAGAAAATGATTCTTTATCTTCTTTCTCACCAAGCCCACACAACAACTACAAATTGGAGTTTTTATTTCACTTAATGATATTGTTAGGGATCACTAAGTATCAATTTGTAAATCAATCTTTATTTCTATTTTTCAACTTATCTGATATTGACATCACTATTTATGTGTTTAAATACAAAGAAGCAAAATTATGGAAACTGCAATTTAATAAAAAACCATTATAAAATGACTCTTCAAAAACACTTACATTTTCAAATACACTTTTAATTGCTCCACAGTCTTTAGTTATTTATCCTTGAATGATTTTATAGCCAATATCTTGAAAGTAAGAAAGTATTTACTGAATAGCAATTTAAATGGCTCCTGTGTATCATTAAATCAGGTTCTGCTTTAAGAATAATTAATCTTCATGCCCTTAGGATACATTATCAGGTTTAAGGTATATCACCAGTGCTAACACTGTGCCCACACTTTTATTGTTTAAGACTTTGGGTTGATTATCAATAAATGGAAAAGGACATAGAAGCAACATAATAATATAGCTTTCATTTATTCTGCTTTGGCTATTTTCTCAACAATGGAAGAAAACAGTTCATTTCACATGTTCTCATTTCATGCTAGTGATTGCAATTTATTTACAAGTGAGGGAAAGATATTTTTATGTACAAATGTATGAACATGCACAAGACACTCTATATATGAATTCATCAAGTCTGTATATCCTTTCACACATAAACCATAAGAATTTACATATAAAAAAAGTAAATAGAGAAGGGATTTAGCAAAATACTGATTTTCTGTACCTGTTCATCGTGAGATAATTTATTTATTTCCAAAATATAATAAAGCACCTCATATAAAATAGATTTTTTAAGATTTTTTTTATTTTCCAGTAAACTGTGAAATGCAGTACCTAAAACATCTAACATGCAACTTAGATATCTATGATGTGACCTTGAAACATAATTTCAGATCTCTTTAAAGAATTATATATAACTATTCTATAGAAAGTGAACATAAAAGTTGTATGATTGTCTACACAGTATTATCATCTCTACAAATATCTGAAATTAGCTTGACTTGCTAGTTCTCTGAGACCAATGTGTTAATATTTAATGTTAATATTTAATGTTTTTGAGAGGGAAAACTAAAAGACAGATGAAATTGAAATTTATCTCCTTTGAGGGATTTATAACATAATAGACATTTAAGTAATTTAGGACATGTTTGGGAATCGCTTAGGGAAGAGAAGGATCATAAAATTGAGCCATAATAAAAAAAAAAGTTAGGGGTACTTGCTTTAGCAGCACATATACTCAAACTGGAATGATACAGAGAGGGTTAACATGGTCCCTGCACAAGAATGACATACAAATTCATAAGGCATTCCATACTTTTTGATAGTGTGATTATATTTCAATAAAATCTTACTTCTTTATTCAACTGACAGCTGCTTTCTTCATTAGATAACATGAAAACATGTAAAAGTAAGTTTGGTTCAGAGATCAATAAAGTTAAGAAATTATTGATATTAAAAAGGGGAAATCAAGTCTGCAGAATAAAAAAATTAGTAATAACACATGTCCATTTATTTGAAAAACAGTTGAAACACAATTAGCTTAGAACTCATTCATCAAATATTTATTGAATCCCTGATATGTTCCATGTTATATATTGTGAGTACAACATGGAGGAAAGTTCACATGGCTTTATGTTCAGTGGAAATTTTCAGATAAAGACAAACAACTAATTTGCAAAATAAATTAATAAATTTGAAAACTATGTTATAAAAATAAATGATTAGTTATAAAATAAATCAAGAAAACATAAACACATCAAGTAGTACTTAAGGAAGGAGGTATTTTAAAGTGTTTGCTGTAGGATGTTTAACTTTACCTGTTTCACTCCATTTATTAGATCTAACCAGTGCAATCAGATAAAAAGAATAAATGAAGAGTATCAAACTGGAAAACAGGAAATCAAATTGTCATTATTTTATTGTGATATGATCTTATACAGAGAGCAATGAGAGAGAAGGAAGAAATTTTAAAAAATCTGAACTGGAAAAAGGAAATTAAATTATAACTGTTAACATATGATCACACAGATAGAAAAATCCAAGAACTCCACCAAAAAAGTATTAGAAATAAAAAAAATTCAGAATACAAAATTAACATACAAAAATAATGATTTTAAACAGCCAGGAAATAAAACAACTTAAGTATCAATCAATTAATTAATGAATAAATAAAATGAGATATTGATGAATAATGAAGTATCATTCAGCTAATGAAAAGAATAAAGAATTAATATTTTTAACAACATAGAATTGGAGGATAAACCAGGCACAAAAACACAAGTACAAGATGATCTAATTCATATGTGAATTTTGTGATCTCATAGAAATTAAAAATAATACGAATCTCCTAGGGGAGTGGGATGAGGAAAGGATAGGAACAAATGACAAATGAGTATTGAGTTATAGTTTGATAGGAGAACTCCATTCTGGTCTATTGAATAGCTACTTTTACAGTTGTGTGTTGAAGTGATAGCATAATTGAATCTAGGTTTAGTCAAATTTTTCTGTATTCAAACAAGAAATCTCAGGCCAACAAACCCCTACCATTTATTTGTGTTCCAGGATGCTACTTCTTTCAAATTAATCTAAGTGTTTTTCTCAATTTCAGTCACTGAGTTTCTTTCTTTTCTTTTTTTTAAATCTTTCTTAAATGTGAAAATTTCCCAATTACTATTTTAGCTCCGTTATGTCTTCCTCTATGCTCAATATCCAGTGCAAATAATTCAATATACATTATTTATTGTGTAAATATGAACAGTTCACATCTATACACACTAGTTTTGAATTTTGTCCATGTTTGTCTAGGACCAGTTGAACAATCATCTAAAGGTATCTTCATCCTTTTTCATTGACATAACAAAATACCTGAGACTGAGTAACTTCATGAAGATACGTGCTTTACTTAGCCCACAGTTCTGGAGATTCAAGGGCATGGCGCCAACATGGGTTCACATCTGGTGAAGAACTTGTGGTGGATGGGAGCACAAGGGAGTGGAGATAATATTTTAAAACCGGAAGTCAGAGTAAAATTTAGGGCTCTGTTGCCTTGAACTGCCTAGCTGTTAATTCAAGTTCCCAGGCTGGGCAGTAAGGCAATGGAGAAAAGACAAACAGACACACAGAGAAAAACTGAGTCTAGGTGGTTGACTACAACCCTGGTAGGGGAGTAGTAAAACACAACAAACTCAGCACATTTATTACATAGGTATAAACTTCAAAAGAATTTATTGTGAGAAAGTTTTTCAGTGTAAGCAGGTCAAGAGTATGAGCAGCTTGATTACGATTATCACCTTGTGCCCATAACTTTCTTCTGAGGAGCAGCTGGCATTTGAATCCAAAGTCAAGAACTAAATAGCTCCATGATTGGCACAGAACTTCCTATGGGACCAGACATCACATAGCAAACTGGGCAGGCTCAAACGGATGCTTTCTAATAGAGATTTCCAAGAAAGGCATCGCCTCTGTCACCGAACAGTTCAAGACCCATATATAATTCAGTTGCTGCTCCTGACACTCAGTATCAGGTTTTTGTAATAAACTGCACACTCATAAGGATTTATTTCAGAAAAATCTGCTTTTCTTTTCTTTTTTTTTTTTTTTTTCCAAATGTCAGGTTTTTCATTGACTTAAGGAACATCTTCTAGGCTTCCAAACTGAGGAGCAGCTTTCCAGCAGGTGAACCCCTGGAGGACAAACTACATCTTACTCATGGCAATGGATATTACTGTTTGTCCACAGGTAATACTAAAACAAAATTAGCATATCTACACTTTTTTTATCTACACCTCCTCAGTGTATGCATATGTGGTATGTGTGCATATGGGGATATGCGCGCGCGCGCGCGCACACACGCACATGATTTTGCTCTATTTTATTTTCAGGTACTGCCATGATTCCATTCTCCCATAAAAACTTCTAGCAGCCATTCTAAATTCTTACATCTTACTTCCTACCCTTCCCCATGCACAAGTATACACACCCATATTTTTAAAAAATCTTAACTAGTGAAATTACTATTAAATATTTTTGATTTTAGTTCTTAGTATTCATAAAGAAAAATCATTTTAATAAATTTAATTGGGCTTTCTGCTATGACTTCTTCCTCCCATTCTCTTACTTACCTCTAATCAGCAATTCCTTTACCAGGCAGTGTAATCTTTTCAAATGTGAATCTGATAATTGATTTCATGTTTACTCCTTGGATAAAATTTTATATATTATCATCTGGTTTAGAGAGATATAATTGAAATGATTAATTATAGATTGTATATTTATAGAGATAATATAAATGATATGATTAAAAATGCTACCAACTGCTTTGGTCTTAGAATAAAATGTTATGAAATAAATAAATGAATTTACATCTTAAAGTATAATTTGTATATTTAAATATACTCCAAATATATTACTATGCAATATATAGTAGAATGTAGAATATGTCTTACTATACTATATATTGTTTATGAAAATTAAATTTTTAAAACCTCAATTTTAAGGGTTGAACCTATCTGAATAATCATGCTGTATTATTTCATGCATTTCTCATAGTTCTAACATTTATTCTATAACAGTAGATGTTCAGATTTATAATGAAATAAATAAAATTTGAATACTATGCACTGTGTCACTACAAAATAAATTATTTAGAGTTGTTGGAAGGAAATATTCTCTCAGTTCATTATTGGATATTTATTCACAGAATTTGCTTCTTAATGCCATAATTTCAACAAGTATTTAATAAAATGCTTTTAAAAACCTCAGAAGTAAGTGAAAATTTGATTACAGTATTCAAAATAGATTGTTTCTATTTTTAGGTATTGTTATGCTTTGGATCTGGCATGTACCCCAAAGTTCTTGTGTAGTAGGCTTGATTTCCAAAGCAGCAGTGATAAGACATGGGAAGGGACTGAATCATGAGGGTTCTAAATAAACTCAAAATAGATTAATCTCCCAATGGAGTCATAAATTAACAAGCTGTTGGGAGGTGGTAGAAATTTCAGGAGATGAGGCTTACTTGAAAGTAGTAGGTCACTGGAGGGCAAGACGTTTTAGGGTATATCTTCTCCACTGGTTTCTGCCTTACCTTCTGCTTTCTTTTGCCTCCCGTTTCCGTGAGATGAATATTTTTTTTTTTTTGCCAAACCTTCTAACCATAATGTTTTATCTCATCACAAGCCCAAAGAAATAAAGCTAAATTATTACAAAATGAAACCTCCAAAGCCATGAGCGAAAATATAACTTTCTTCCTTTAAGTTAACTTCCTCGAGTATTTTTTCCCCTGAAAAGCTAACAGGGATACATATACACTAGGAAGTATCACAACAGTTTCAAGTATTTTAGCTACATTTATAATATTAACTTGCAAAAAATAAAAGAACCATTAAAAATTATGAGAAAAATCATTGAAAGTGCATCAAGATAGGAAGACTAACACAGAGAGACAAGCCCATGATATAATCATGTGATATTCAACTAATGTGCCAAATACATATGTTGGAGAAAAGAAAGACTTTTTAACATCAATGCTGGCAAAACTCTATATCCATATGTAAGAGAATGAAACTAGATTCCTGTCTTTCACCTGGCACGAAAGTCAAATCAAAATGGATCAAAGATCTAGGAATTACACCAGAAGCTTTGCAACTGCTAGAATCAAACAAACTACTACTGTGACATATGGACACTGGCACTGACCTCTGTAACAAGATCCCTAAAGCTCAAGAAATCAAGAATCAATAAGTGAGATGACATCAAATTTAAAGGCTTCTACACAGCAAAGGAAACAAGAGCATGAAGAGATAGCTTACAGAATGGGAGAAAATCTTTGCCAACAAGGGATTAATATTCAGAATACATAAAGAACTCAAAAAGCGTAGCATCAAAACACAACATGACAAAAAACAAACAAACAAACCAAACAACTACAACAAGAACAATAACAACAACAACAAAAAAAGTAAATAAATGGGCAGAAGAACTCAACAGACACCAAAGAAGAAATACAAATGGCCAACAAATATATGAAAAAAATTTTCAACATCCCCATCAATCAAGGAAATGCAAATCAAATCTATATTGAGATTTCATCTCACTCCAGTTAGAATGGAAAGCATCAAGTATCAAAATAAAAATAAATGTCAGTGAGAATATGGCAGAAAAGGTATAGTCATATATTGGTGGGACTGCCAATTGTTACAATCACTTTGGAAAATGATAAAAATTCCTCAAAGACTAGGAATGGAACCATAAGACCCAGCTATTCTACTCCTTGGTATTTATCCAAAAGAACACAAATCAACACCCTATAGAGAGATACAGG